AGGCTGGTTTGGGTGGTCTTGCTATAACAGCCATCGATGTACAAGATAATTCAGTAAATGGCAGGACAGATCTCCACACCAAAAGGGAAGTGATGAAGGCTGGCACAGGGTTTTAGGACAAACTGCCAGTGCTTCCTCCGGTCCCACAGAAAACAGCGGGATCTTTGAGTTGTTTGTTTCACATGTCGGCATATCCTAGGCTATTTTGGGAACTTGGTTTTTGTTTTATTTTGTTACAATTTAACATCAGGTGAACAATTCATGTTTTCTTTTTCTGGCTTTCAGACCATGACTGTGGGTGACATTGTCTTCAAGAGAATCAGCAAGAGAATATAGACAAGTCTGCATTTTATATTCTTTTACTGTGTAAAATTAATGTAATAAAGTGAAGTTTGTTTTAAAAATGATTTTTCTTCTTGATGGTCTGGATGACTYCTAGTCACCCATGAGCCACCTATGAGCCACCTACGATCATGATCCCCAGGTTCCACCCCACCAGCTCAGGACCGGAGGGCAGGTCTCACCCTGCACTGTAGACCTCAGCCTGCCCTCTCCGATGTCCCTGACAGGAACTCCAGGTGTGCCGCATCTGTAGGGTGGCCCTGGCACAGCCCTCCCCAGCCAGCCCCATGGGCAAGGAGCTGGAGAAAGAGGGTGTGCAGTGGGCTTGTCCTGAGTGTGGCTCCCTGAAGGGATAGGGGCAAGAGCACTGGGCAGACACAGGACAGCTCTACTCATGAGATCAACCAGACCTGCAAGTCAATGGGGAGGTGGGTCGAGGACGTGAATAGGCTGCTCACACATGAAATACATCTGTTTCCATAGTAACTATGGAGGAGGTACCCAAATAAAAGTCAATAGTAAAAAGAAACACCCAAGCTATGTAACCACTTGGGCACAGGCCCTGCCTTCGATGGCAGGTGAACACTGTGAGGCCCATACAGAGCCACTTGACAGTATCCCTGATCACATTGAAAACAATGTGATCCCTAAAACCTAGCAAGGCCACTGTCCTAGGGCTTCTTACACACGTGCTATACACAGGCATGAAGAGACACACAGATGCAGAAACCTAAAGTTGTAAATAAATGCTCACTGCTAAACAAGAACAGAACTGTGGTCCAGGCATGCCCTGAAATAACCCACAATACATTAAATGCACAAGGTAGGTCTACATGTACAGCATAGAAATGTCCCTTAAGATAAAGCACATTGTTTAAAAAGCTAGTTTTGTAACAATGTTGACAATATCATTTCTGTAAATTTTGCTAAAACATGAAACAAAGCTATAGGTGAACACTGGGAAACCTCTAGTTAGTTGCAACACTGGATAAAAGCCATGACCTCTAGGGTGGAACAAATTTGAAAGTCAAAAGCTTTTTGCCTGATTTACATTGTATGAATCTTTTGCAAGTAAATGATTTTTTGGAACCATTTTTTAGAGGGCAATGAACTTAACAAGCATATGCCTTAAGAAAAAATTCTGGGCTTGAAGATGTAACTGTAGCTAATTGCTCCATGACTTTAGACCTCGGTATTCTCACTGTGAAATGGGCAGCAAGAGACCTTCTCTAGAGCTTTTGCAAGAAGCCCATGAATTGGTGCACACCAAAGGCCATCAGAGTAAAGCAGGACACTGTTGCCATTGGATTCCTCGGGGAATGTCGCTGGGTTTGGTAAGAGCATTAGCAGCAACTGTGCAGCACAGGAATTAACCTCTGAGAGCAGACGCAGAAGCTGAGAGAAGAGGTTCATCCACAGCCCCAAGGGGCGGTGGCACTGAGATTCTGGATCTCCAGCCGCAGGAAGAGAGAGTAGCCAAGTACTCTGAGCAAACCTCCAGGACTACACAAAATTCCGCGGCTCCTAGCGAGGCTCCTCCCTGAGAACTCATTTGGGGGAAGATCGCTATTATGACTTGGACTGAAAAGGAGATTTAATTTTAGAAGCGAATTTGGGTTTTTACAGATGCCCAGAAGACCCTGGGCTGGAAATCTGCTTTACACAAATTGGCTCAACAGCAGTGGGTAAGGTGGGCTGTTTTTGCCCCGACCTCTCGGGCCCCTTGCCTGCGCTGCGGTCCTCCCGCCGACAGGGGGCGCTTGCCGCAGATGCCGTGCCAGGTGTCTGCAGGTGCGATGCGGTCTACACCTGCAGCAGTCTACATCCACCCAGAAGAGTGCTTCCCCTTTTCAAAACACGGATTGGGTTAGAGGAAATGATTCATGGGATGGGGAGGAGAAGGAAGTCTAGCTTTAAAAACTACTCTGAGACAGGAGTGGTGGCCCACCCTTGTAATTCCATGGCTTGGGAGCTGAGACAGGAGGATCAAAAGTTCGAGGCCAGCCTCAGTAGTTTAGCAAGGCCCTAAGCAACTTAGTGAAACCCTGTCTCAAGATAAAATTTTTAAAAAAGGGTTGGTGATATGGCTCAGTGGTAAAGCACCCCTGGGTTAAACCCCTAGTACTGAGAGCAGGGGGTGGGGGCGGGGGGAACCTATCCTTAATTACTCCCCTAAAATTGCACAATCTAGCACAGCAGCCACTGATTGCTTTGACTATTCAAACATAAACGGAAATTAAATAAAATAAAAGATTCCGTCCGAGTCAGACTCAAGTGCTCAGCAGTCAGGAGTCCCTAGTGATGACTGTTTGGGGCGGAAAAATTATCCATCATCACTGCTCCAAGGTCCTTAGAAGCCACACCTGTTTGCTTGGAAACATAAAGGGCTTAAAGGGCTTTGTCGATTGCTGTAACACAAAAACTCAAAGTGCCCACTGCTCAGTAATTAGCAAATTCATCCATCCATCATACACATTTCCCAGGCACCTGTCCTGCTCCAGGGCCTGGGCCAGGTTTTGGGGTGAGAACAGCCCCACCCTCCAGGAGTTCACAATCAGAGGGGAGGCAATGCCTGGGGGTGATGTTCTGGGGTGGGGGGGGGCAGTGGAGCTGGAGCTCAAGGTCAGGGAACAGGGCATCATCCTCCAGGCAGCCCTTCAGCAGAGGACCTACTGGAGCACAGGCAGGGAGTGTGTGTGGAGAGAAGAGGGTGGATAGAGGGATGAACCACCTCCTGTGATGCCACACATGGGGGCAGGTGGAGCAACAACGTCAGAGGCTCCTCCCAAGGAACAGTCACGTCAGTCACGGTCAGGGAGTGGAGTGGGTAGAGAGAAGTCTACTCATCCGAGGCCCCAACAGCAAACGCTAGAGTGGACAAGAGCCATTTCAGTAGAGGGTCAGGGGCAGTGGAGGGGCAGGGGCAGTGGAGGGGCAGGGGCAGTGGAGGGGCAGGGGCAGTGGAGGGGCAGGGGCAGTGGAGGGCAGGGTGGGGCCAGGCTGCAGTGGGCTCCACAGAAATGCAGAGGGAGGAAAAGCAGATAGACTACAACTAAAAGAACCCTCGCCATGGAGACCAAGGGTCTTGGAGGTCCAAGAGTCCTGATCTGAAGATGCAGAGTGGTGAGGAGTGGCAGGACCCTGGAGGGAGGGGAACCAGCATGGAGCAGGTCCCAGGGTCACAGGAAGACCAGGGCTCCAGGGCACAGGAGCAGTCTAGCTCTGGAGGAGAGAGGGAAGGAGGATCACAGACACACAGAATTCACCAAGACAACAGCTTCAGGAAGACGGGGAGGAAAAAAATGACCCGGGACATGGGAGACAACCAGTGGGTGGGCAGAAAACATGGCCCAGAAAGGAAGAGGGCTGGGGAGGTTTCCATCCAGGAGGAAGAGGGGGTCATTCGAATGTGCCAGTGGAGCGTGGCCTCCTGGTCTGCGGAATGGGGATTGAAAGAACTGCCAGTCTTCCTATAGAACCTTCCAGAGAAGAGAGTGTCCTTGAAGAAGAGCCAAATGTCAGGGACTAATATTCTGCAAAGAGTGGCCTTTTGCAGAGTTTTCAGCCACTAGATGATGTTCAGAGGGAGGCAGTGGGTTGTCCTGGGGCTGGAGCAGGGGTGGAGGAAAACCCGGAGCTTGTGGAGCTCACTTGACTCCATGAGGCTGGGTGGAGTTCTGGGGTCAGTGGTAGTAGCCCAAGGTTGCATAGAAGTCTGTGAACATCCCTAAGACCCCGGAGTTTGTTCCGGGGTCTCAGAAAACATTGGTGAGAAATTTGAAGTCTCAGAAGATAATAGGCCATTCTTGGAATAGGACAATTCTCAAGACCTACACTTTTTGATGGAAATAACAAGAGTCTCCCAGGAAATCAGGACACACTGGTCACACCTCTGAAGAGGTGCACAGGTGTTCCTTCTGGTGAGAAGAGCAAGAACCCAGGGCACGGACAGAAAAAGAAATTCAGCAAGGGAAGTAATTACTCAGCCCTCTGACGGAGCCCCTTGGGACAATGAAGGAGTCTGAGCTGAGAAAGACCACCCAGGCACACAGAGCCAAACCCCCAGGTACACCTCTGCTGGACCCAGGGCCATCGGGTGCATGTCTCCTCCCTTCTCTCCCAGGTGCACCCTGGGAAGGCTTCTTCAGTCCTACTAGGTCAATGGYGAGAAAAATCCAGATATTGTCCCCGCAGCTCTCACATCACAAGGAGGCACCAGGCTGGGTGCTAAGGTGGGGAGATATTCCCTCTGTGTATCTAGAATTATTTCTAAAATTACACTTGGAACCCAGACCCAGAATTGAGATCTGAGGTGGCTTGGGCAAGGCCCTGCCTCTTTTTGCATGTGTACCCTTCTGAATGGGCTTCAGGTCTCTGAGTGGGTCCTAAAGGGCCTAACAGCCATTCCTCAGAATCCCACCAGCCTGAGGAAGCCGGACAGCACTCACCCGAGTTGCCAAACGCTGACGATTCCAGCCCCGGGGGAAACCAGCAGCCCCAGAGACACTTGCACAAGTAGGTGAGCAGCCAGGAGACTCCAGGTGCCTGCCACCCTCAGCCTGGCACCATGGCCCCATGGCACGCCCCCACACACACCAGGTGCACACACACCAGACACATCCCTCCCCTGCACCCCCTCCACGTGGTTCACCACTGCGTTCAGGATGACACTGGGCTTTAATTGATCACTTATATTTGTCTCCCTCCTACACTGGGGGCTCCATTACCAGACCCTAGGGCCCAGCACCAGCGCGTACCTACAGGTGTCAGGCTGGGAGACAGTGTCAAACTCACTGGAAAAGCTGAACTGAGCCCGAATGACAAGGTGAACAAAGGGCAGGATGTCCCCACAAGGCTGAGCTTGCTCACCAAGGGTCTCTGCAAAGACCTGCTGCCTCCAGAGCCCCTCCCCGCGGCCTGCCCCTGCCCCAGGTCCTCAGGGCTTCTTGTGGAACAGAGCTGGGGCTGGCTCCGCGCTGGGCTCGGCCATGACCTGCATGGGCTGGTTGTTCAGAGCTGCTTCTCGCATCTTGTGGTACATGAACTCGTTCTGGCGGAACATGCGCAGCTCCATCTCCGTCTGCACCCGCATGGCCTGTGGGACACATCCACAGTGAACGGTGGGGACGGCCCAGGACACTTGAGGGAGCTCTGCCCTCCACCTCAGCAGTGGGCAGTTAGTGTGGAGGCGGCGTGGCCCCGAGGGAGTAGTCGAAGGGACTGTTTCCACCAGAGAATGCTTGCCCTCAGGACCTGTCAAGTAGGGACCCAGACTTGGGTCCCTCACTTATGCTGTGAGACCTCAGGCAAGTGACACAACCACTTCAGTCCTCAATCTTGTCCAGGACACAGATGAGATCCCTTTGTTCCTTATAGTAGGTTTGGAAGATCATGGAGTATGGCACACGAGAAAGCCCAGTCCCTCCACGAGTCAGGACATCTGTGGTTTCACTGGAAACCACAGTGAATCAGACTGACAGAGACTCTGCCTGGACAAGCTTAGTGTCTGGACAGACAGCTAGTCACCTCCGCTCCCCGCTGTCACTTGCTCCCTGAATCCATGTTCAGAGCTAGCATATCCTGTCTCTTATAGATGAGGATCTGGGGGTCTGAGAAGTCAGGGACACCCCACCTGAGGTCACACTAGTCCTAGTGTCAAGGCCACTCTGCAACACTTGAGGTCACAGTGTGAAGACATGAAGTGTACCTGCTTTCCCTGGACGAAGTCACCTGAGAACAGTCCTGTCACTCAAATAAACAGCAGGGAAACAGCAGATAGTAAAACTGTGCCCCTGGTCCCTTGCGCCTTTAAGCACTGACTTGCTGAACCCACACCACGACACCATCCTGGTCCCTACCACACAGAGGTGGAGCCGGCCAGGTGTCACTGCCATCACTGTGTGGAGGAGCACAGCTGGAGAGAGCAGAGGCTGGGATTCCGCCCCGGAGTCAGACTCCAGAGGCGAGTTCCAAGCTCCATGTGTAAATGGCTGTGCATACACCACGGTCCGGCTTCTCAGTCCAGCCGCGGCCATCACAAGCCCAGTACTCAGGCTTCATCCTTGCCATCACCCCTCAGTCACTACAGACAGAGCCCCCTCCCAGGGCCCAGGGGTTCCTGGATATGAAACAAGGGGGTGACAAAGCATTTCTGCACCCTCCCTTTCTGGTCCCTCCAGATATCAGGACTCCCCTAGGGCCAGGTCCACCTGAACTAGGCCTTTACCCCTCAGGGAGCTCAGAGGCCGAGGCCCAGCCCTCAGGCACTACTTGCCTCCAGGTCTTTGGTGATGGGGTGGGAGGGCCCGTGAGTCACCAGGAGGATGGCGTAGGCTTTGCAGATCATCCCATGCCCCACCTCAATGTGACCAGCGTGCCAGTTGGTCAGGCCTGCCCGCATCACGGCCATGCCCAGTTGGGCATTGTTGGGGTGGTAGAGCTTCCTGCAGGGGGACAGAAGATAACAAGACATGACCCTAAGCCCTCCTACTCCCACCTGTCTCCTAGTGGCTCAGAAAGAACCTTCAGTGCTCAGGCCTGTCTGCCCCTCCTGCAAGTCTGTGAGGCCTCCCTGGTCAGCTGGGCGGGACTGAGGGGTACAGGGAGCTGTGGGAGCTGGGACTCCGGCCTGAGCCCCAGAGCCACATCCTCATGAGAAGGCCCAGGATGGCACTCTGAGCTAGAACAGGGGGAGCTGGGGCCCTTGGGGGCACTCAGGCCCTCCTAGGAAAGTGACAGGAATAACTAGAGCGTCCTTCTCAGGACAGCTGGTGGTTGTGCTCCTCTGGGAGGCTCCCTCCTGCCCACTGGGCAGTGGGCGGCGTGTCTAACAGGTGGCCTCCTCTGGAAGACTTTCTCGTTTGTCCAGAAATGCAAACCCACCGGCTCATGGGGACAAGGAAGTGAAGGGTGGTCACTACTGCTCGGAGCCCATGTAGAAAGGCTGGAGGGAAGGAGATGTGGGTGGCCCACAGAGGCCGTGGGTGAGGAGGTGCAGCACCTGCGCCCTGTGTGCCATTTGGAGGAGGTCTCAGGAGACCGTCCTGGGTCGGCGATGATCACCTACATGTAGCCGTCCACCATCCGCCTGGCATAGTGGGAGGCCTCGTCGAAGGCCTGGAGGTAGGAGAGGACCTCAGAGACAACACTCAGCAGCCGCAACGTGTAGAGGTTGGTATCAGCAAACACTGGCTCCTGCTTCTGCAGAGCCTCTCGGCACAGCCTCACCACCTGGAACAAGACACGGKCCACCGTCACCACTACCCCAGAGCCGGAGCCTCAGTCACACGGGAGCATCCCGAGAACCCTGGACCTCTTTTAAGGCTGGGGAAGCTGCTGACAGAAGTGAGGCAGCCGAGTTTGTGACTGGGCTAAGATGCGGGGGTGAGAGTGTAACCACGGGACACACCAATGACAGAAGGAGTGGGCAGCTTTTAAATCTGTGGGCAGCAGAGAGCTGTGAAAGCTGTGTACATATGTGTGTGTATACGTGTATACATGTGCATACAAAGACATACACGTGCAAATATGTGCACATGTACAAATACAGACAGGTGACAGGTTCATGACAGATTTGTCCCACGGCAATGCAATGACATGGGTACTACCAGTATTCCCAATTTACTAGAGGAAAAAACTGAAGCACAGAGAAGGTAAGTACTTTGTCAAAGTCACACAGGTAGTGAGATCAAAGATTCGAACCAAGCAGTTGAGCTCCATCTTTTCRACCCTTCTTGTGATTCTCCACATGGGTTGTACTTTGGAATATCTGGAAAGCTTTTTTAAAATGCTGATGCCCCCCCCCAAAAAAAAAGACTCTACCCCAGACTAATTGATACCAAATATCTGGGAGAAAGATGTGGAATGTGCAGTTTGTGGGAGGCGCTGGGGGTCCTTCTGCCCAGTGAGGCTGAGCAAGTTGATAGATATGTACAAGATGATGGGCAAAGAAGGCGGTTCCCTGGGAGGCCAGAGACCTACTGGGAGGACGCTGCCTTGGTGGGGGCAGGCTTTCCCACAGCTCATGCGTAGACACAAGCTGAGACTGCACCTCACAAACCCAGAGTGTCTCTCGGTTGGGTTGTCATTATCCTCCTCCTCCCTGGATGCTCTCATGGGGAAGGGCTGCCAGTTCTCTCCATTTCAAAACTAGCCGAGCTCTGAGGCTTCCCCAGAGCCTGGGAGCAAATGGTTGTGGGGTGGCAACCGGGAGCTGCGACCAGCCCGTCCTGCAGGAAACCCTCTCCAATCCGAGGGGCAGTGGGCAGCCCGAAGTTGGCTCTGCCAAGTTTGAATGAAGACAAAGTAGAAATGAAGAGGAGACAAGAATCCAGAGAAAGAGAACCCGCCTGCTGCTCACTCCCGGCTCACGCCCTGACGCGGCTTTCCAAGCTGTGCACAACACTGGGCATCGACTCTCCCCACCCGACAGGATTCCAAGGAGGCAAGGACTGTGTCGTGTTGGTGACCCCAGGGAGGGCTCTGCACGTGCAATGACTGAGTTAGCAGAGGCCGAGGAGGAGAAGAGGGAGAAGGAAGAGAACCCACCCCCACGGTACCGCGCCCTAGTGCCACGCAAACCTGTCCACACGCCCCAGTGGCTTAATGAGCTCGGAAGAATATCCTTGTTAGAGTCTGTAAACAAGTCAGGATGGTGCCAGGGGGAGTGGTTTGTGAGGTGGTGCCAGTGAGCCATTAAGTGTGTAGATTCCTTATTGGTTGACTGCTGTATCTAGTTTATGTTAATTAAGATAAGCTGTGTGGAATGTATATATACCCCTCCTGTCCTACAATAAATGGCTCCCACTCCTGCTGTATCAATCTACACAAGTTGCTCGTCACCCCCCRGTTATTTTGCTGCAGCCGGACTGTGGCACATCCTGACCCTGATCTCTGTTCTGCAGACTGGGTGACTGGCATCTCAGGGGGTAGACTCAGCTGTCCAGGATAATTCAAAGCCACTTCACTGCAGCCCAGTGTTGGGCCGTGGGCCTCAGCTTCAGCTGCACATTGAAATTGCTGGAGAACTTTGAAAATCTTACTGTCTGGGTCTCACTCCCAGAGATTCTGCTGAAATTGTCCTGGGCCAGGGTCTGGGCATCAGGACTTTTTGAAGGTGATTCTAGTGTACAGCCCCCTCTCTAGTGAGAGCCCCCAGTGCCTCCAAAGGCACAACTGAATTTTGGTTGGCGGAGACTAGAAACTGTGGCCATTCAAGCACTCAATTACTCAGAGCAAGAGGCCATTCCCATGAGTCAACTATCATCACCATCCCACCTCCAATGGCCCTGAGCTGTCCTACAGCCCCAGACACATCTGTCAAGCTGCCCCTGCTCTGCTCAGACCCAGTTCCCGTGAGCTGAAGGGTCGCTGAGAACACAACCCTAGCAGGTACTAAAGGGTTAGGAGCAAGAAAAGCCCTGGTCTCAATCAAGGGACATCTGCAGAAGAGCAGCCCTTCCCCACTCCTCCCCAGCCCAGCCCTAGAGCAGTGGCCTCTCACCTCATGGTACAGACCCTCGGAGCGAGCCTTGTGTATTTTTTCCAACGTGTCCTTGGAGAATTGTATCATCTCCTTCACAGCTTCCTGAGAGGGCTAGAAAAGAGGGACGTGGAGTTGGAGGCCCCCTCCAGGGAAAGCCCACTCTGTTGATGGCTGCCAGCGGAGGTAGATGAGGCCACCGAGATCAGTGCCTTCCTGGTTCTAAACTCTGGGTCCTGAGGTTCTGTCAGGATTCCTGCAGCTTCTCTGCCTTGCTTTCTGCTAGCTAGTGATCCCTAGTCCTGGCTCCCGGTGAGCTGTGGCCAGGAGCAGAGCCTGGCGCTGGTCCCTGTCAGGTGTTCTCTGAATTTTGGATTCTGATCTATCACCCAAAACATTGGCCACTCATCCACTAGCCCACCTTCACCGGCATGCTCTGCACGTTCTGGAGGCAGCCTGGGGCGAGGACTGAGCCGGCAGCATTGGACTCCAGTTCACCGGGGGTCTTTAAGGGGGATCCTGCGCTTCTGCCCATTCAAACCTCCCAGCGTCTTAGCACTGGCCAAGGTTGGCATCCTGACCAGAGGACGTCAGAAGGGATTTTTGCCAGCTACATCTGAAACCGAGACCCACTTGGCTTACCGCATTAATCCCACCAAAACCTATCCAAAGACGTTTTTGGTATTTGAGGCATGAAAGTACCATAATCAAGAAGCCATATCACATGAGGACACCATAATTTTGAAGGGAAAAAACCACTGAATTTGTCAAAGTCCAAAGGAGGAAGAGAAGGTACTAAATGAAGGGGGACCGGGAGGGAAAAGGGGAGGAACCAGAGAGAAGGAAAGGAACGCCCCCCCAGGGAAGAGGGGCGGGGCCAGGGAAGAGGGGCGGGGCCAGGGAAGAGGGGCGGGATCAGAGGGGAGGAGCCCCAGAAAAGCAAAGGAGCCAGGGGAGGGGCCAGGGGAGAGGGGAGGATCGTGATTTCAAAGCCAGCCTCAGCAACTTTGCAAGGCACTTAGCAACTCAACAATCTAAATAAATATAGAAAAGGGAGATGTGGCTCAGTGGTAAAGCACCCCTGGGATCAACAGGGCTAGTTCGGGGCACTCTGTTATAAGCAGCTCCAGCAAACTAGCCTGCACAGCATTGCTTGGCCCCTGGTTCTTGCCCTTTCACAAACACAGCTCATTCCACATCTGCACATAAACATCTGGCTCATTCATCTTAGTGGATTCAGGGTATTTTCTCCTTTGACTCTCTGTCTGTGGTTATTTGGGTTTTATTCAATATTCAGTGTTCCCAACAGGGCCGCCACCTACATCTTTCTTCCTTCCTGGGTCTCTGAGACCTTGGGCCAGCTCCCCTTCAGGGACCTTCCCTACACCTCTTACGAAGGCAGAGCAGGCTTTGAAGACACTCTTCCCACTGGACTCAGGACCCAGCCCTTCCCGCTTGACCACAGAGCCAGACAACGTCACTGTCGTTTTTGGTGCGTGGCTTTGCCCTGCTATTCCCACACCTGGCCACTCGGCTCCCTCCTGGTGCAGCTGAGCTCCGGACGCCCCTCCGCAAGCCTGCCCCCTCTCCATGTTGTCATCTGTGAGACCAGGAATTTCTCTGGGATAACCCAGTAACAAATCTCTTTGCCCCTTAGACCTCCATGTCTGAGAGGCTCAGGGGTATTTCACCCGCATGGAGGTGGGAGATGCGCGGAGTGCCTCTGCTCCCTTTCCTACGGCACCTTGGTTCATCCTCAAGACGACCCTTGCAGCGGGGCCTTCATTCCTGTTTCGCAGATGGGAAGACTGAGTGACTCCCCCAAACTCAGACCCCTGGTCGGGACAGCTGGGCCCTACCACCCCTTGCCACCTTCCCGGGGCCATGGGGACCTCGACTGGCTGTGAGAGCCGCCCTGGCCTGGCCCCAGGGGCAGTGGCCTGGGCCCAGCGGTGGGCTGCATGTACCTTGGGGTCTTCCTTCACTCCCAGGAAGAGGTCATCCTTCAGCCCTTTCTGGCAGTGCTCACAGGTGCAGTCGAAGTAGTACTGCTGCTTCAGCTGCTGCCTGCGCTCCTTGCTGACATTGAGGAAGTCGATGTAGGACACCGTCAGCTCCTCTCCCTCCGAGATCTTGCCCAGGGCCCGCAGCTCGATCCTAGAGCAGGTCGGAGGGGCAGGAGTCAGGAGAACCAGGCCACCCACAGAGGATCCTGCTCTCCTCTGCTCGAGGGTTAAGTCCCAGAGACTGCGCCTCCACTAGCACCCCGAGAAAGCACCCATTCCCCCCAGGAGGGGGAACGTGATCCCACACACAGTTGCTAGGTCGCTCAGTATTATAATGGTCAAATCTGCTCCATTCAGCTGATTGCCCTGGAATAGGTTCCTATAGGCTCCCAGCTGGGATGGGCCATAAAACCATACACAGCAGCCATTTCTGCAGCCACCTGTGTGAACTTAGTTACTGGTTATCTGTGACAAGGGAAGGGAGAAACAAGGAGGCAAAACCCCAAGAAAAAAGGACCTAGAAGGGATTTCTGGTTAGTTTGGAGATACTCTCAAAGACAAATACATTCCGTTACCCACAACCCTGGCACACTCTGTGTCTGACTTTAAGCCTCAGGACCTTCAGCTTTGGTCCAGTGTTCAGACCCACCCTGTGGGAGACTCATGCCCACCACTGTCACTGGACGTAGACAAACAAAGGCTGGGTCTGTAGCCTGCTCATCACTGCCTTCAGCGTTTCCCTGGAGACGCAGCATACTGGCAACAGTAGGTAGATTTCCATTCCCCCAGACCTGACCCTCCAGTACCCACCCGCTGAGCAACAATACAAAAGGTGCTCAAGGTGAAAGCCCTCTGCAGAACTGACACCCAGCAGATCCCACAGGCAGGCTGCGGCCCCACCCACCCCACCATCCACCCCTGGCATCACAAAGTCAGATGGTTATAGAGAAGTGCAAGACTGGCAACCTAGATCCCAAGCCTGGTCCAGGGCCTCACGGCCCAGGGGGAAACCACCATCCAGAGAGCAAGGGGTGGGATGCAGAGGGCTGGGGACATGCACTGCAGAGGTGGGCATGGCTTTACCACCTAGAAAGGCTATTAGGTGCTGTGTGAAAGGCAGGTCGGGACTCCAGCACCTGGAGGGGTTCCAGGCAAAGCAGCCCCTTCCATGTCTTCCAAGGTGAGTGGCAGAGACATGCCCGCCTGGCACCTGAGGTCACCACTTAAGGTGGAAACCTCTCCCCAAAGTGGACTACACCAACATGCCCCAAAATGCACTCATGTGGGTAAGAGCAGCTGAGGAAGCCTGGGAAAGCCCCGGACGCCACCCCCTATTCCTGCTTTCCTTTCTTCCCAGCCCAGTTCTCAGCAGAAGCAATGAAAGGCAGGTGGGACAGAAGGTGGGTGGTTGTGCTAACAGCTCTGCTGAGAATCCTAACATGCCGAGCTGCAGGGCCCCATGTCTCTGAAACGAGGACACAAACCAAGAAAGCAAGTGGCCTCCTCCCAGGTCCCAGAGCACAGGGGTGGCAGAGATTAGAGTCGGGTGCCCTTGGTGCCCCTGGTGCTGCTCACATGAGGTTTCCAGGATGCCTCACGGCCAGCACAGTTGCCTGGAACATGAGATGGCCCACCGCCTGGGTTTTAGGGCTCCACTACTGGGCAAATTGTCCCAGGTGAGCCACTCCAGGGCCAGGGTGTAGGGTGGATCATTGGTGTCCTGCCCTGGGAGAGGAGGACCCACTCTGTTCCCACGGTTTCTTTCCCAGAGGCAGCTCGCCATGGTGACAGATTGAAATCCAACAGTGATCTGTGGCTCAGATGGTTTAATGGTATTTAAGAGTTTTCAAAACCAAATTAATTTCATATCACTTAAATACCAAAAAACACACATACATCTTCTCCCAGTCTGATGTTAYAGGTGAGCCCTGACTTCCGGGGCTCACGTCCCAGTAAACCCATGGGTAACTCAAATATCACAGGACAAAAACGCAGGTGGGCTTGCCCCTGCTGGGGAGTGTGAAAGTAATAAAGTGTCCCAACCCTCAAAAGACATGTGCAGTCCCCTGACCTGCCCCACACCATAGCCTGGCCCAGCTGCCTTCAATATGCCCAGAATATGGGCACCGCCTGCAGTGGGCGAGGTCATCTGTGCCCACTGATGTCACTGTGCACCTGATGTCTCGACTACTGAGCTGCCGGTGGGTGACAGGATGACCACATGGGCGTACTTCTGCACTACCCAGGACGTCAAAAAAATCTTTGTGCCAAGCCACTGTAAGCGAGGGACATCTGTACGTGGAATTGGTGGCTGGGGGCAAACGGGAATTGAAGTAAGCACTGCCGAAGAAGCAGTGAGGGGTGTGGCACTGCCCTTCCTGCGGCCGCTGCCCTGGACCTGTCTCTGCCCTGGCGGGACCCAGGTCCCTTGTACTTCAGCACTCTGCCATCTATCACACAGCTAGCTGAGCGACAAGCAGACACTTATTTAAAGCATTTTTTTTGCAGAGCTTAGGAACAGAGCCAGAGCCAGAGATCCCCAGAGACACTGTCATCCTCACCTTTGCTCCCCTGATGTGGAACACAAAGCCAGGAGATGGTGTGGTGCATCCAGAGTCTCATGTGAGGCACAGCAACAAATCAGGTGCCCCAAGCTCTCCCAGCCCTCATCCCCAAAGACCACTTCAAGGGTCCCAAGCACAGCCCGACCCAAAGACCCCTCTGGAGCTATTTGATCGTCATTAAGAAAAAGCAAAAGCAAAATTTAACCTAAACTGCGAATTCACAGAGTTGGCCAGAAACTATAAACAGAATACTATGAATGACTATTGATCAGAATTTTCACAGTAGTGGATGGTATTTTCAGAAACCAGTCTGGGCGAGAAGTTGGGGTTATAAACAAACTGGGTCCTTTAGCAGGTCAGTGGATCCACAGCCCCCGTCTTGTGGCAAACAGGGTGTAGGGGGAAGACGTAGGTTTGGGCTAAGATGTGGACTAGAAGGACTCATGCTTGGTGGCCAGGAGAGAGAGAGAGAGCAGACAGAGAGGAAGAGGTGGGTGAGCAGCAGATGCCCAGTTCAAAAGCATTAACAATACGCCATGCAAGGAGGATGGGCGCTGGTGTGCAGAGGACACACGGACGGACAGCAGACATGGAGTCTTGGGCGGGGTGGGCCCAGCACACCAGGAAAAGGAGGCAGATGGGTCAGAGGAGCAGGGGTCTTGGAAGGGCTGACCCACCTCATCTGGGTGTGAAACATGGACTTCACTGCCTCATGGCTGAAAGACAAAACAGACACCAGGTGGAGTCAATACCACTGGCCGACCTGCCCAGTGGGCAAGGTGCCACTCACTGTCACAGCAGCCTGCATCCTAGCCCTTCCAGCCAGTCCCAAGGCAGGAYGCGGCTGGCCTGGTGGACAGTGCCCTGGTTTTGGAGTGAGGAGGTCTGGGGGTAGAAGGCTCTCGGCCCTGCATAGCTTGCTTCCTTCCCTGGGCCTCCAGGTCTCACCTGCCGCCTGGCAGGGGGTGTCCTGAGAATGCATTTGAAGTCCAGTGCTAAGATGTGGTCCACTCACGCAGCTAGTAGGTAAAACTGGTCAGAGCTGGAATCAGGACCCAATGCCAGGCCCAGGGGTCTCTCCAGATGGCAGGTGGCCAGGCAGTGAACGCAAAGGCGTCTTCTCACACAGAAGCCAAGCAGCCCAGACAAACATGGCTGCTCAGAATTAGTAGACACAGGGAAGCCAGAGCAGAAGCCGAGAGGACAGAGGAAGTTTCCCAGGCTCCTTGGCCATTGTGCAGAGTGACCGGCAGAGTCCCGGGTCGCCATAGCTTAGGGAAGGGCCTAGGGAGTCAGCCCTGCACATGGCTGAGTGTGATCTCCTTGCCAGCCAGGCCGGACTGGAAATCTGGCCCTCTCAGGAGATTGCAGGAGGTCCAGGCAGTGACCCCAAGAGGCTTGGGAGGACAAATACAGATGCTGGGAAAATAGTATCATCAAGATCCAAAATAAACTTTTCCATCTTAAGGTCTTTCTCAATTCCGTTAGAAACTGACATCGGAAACGGGCAGGAAGAGAGAAATCGGGTCCTTGCCACGTTGATGGCGAGGCCTAGCTCTCAGCGGGACCCAGAGTCTACTGTTTCTGGCTTCTGGGGAATCACTGGGAAAATGTGCTTAATGCTAGAGGCTTTAGGGTGTGTTCCTGCAGCCTCCCTCAACCTGAATTCTGCATGACCTCAGAGAGATGATTACAGCTTCACATTTTAAAATAGACGCTAGAGGCTCATCTAACACACCAGGCAGCCTCGAGAAACACACCAGGGCTTGAAAGTGACCCGCGGCACTCTGCTCTCTCCTCACTACCCTTCCCAGCCGCAGCTCGTCTGCGGGAGGTTCCAACTGGGCACACAGGGGACTTCCACCGCAGTTCAAGGTGGAAGGCCCACTCTGGTTAAGTGAAGTCAACAGACACGGGAGGCCTCCTGTCCCCGCATGCCCTGTCAGCCGGACTCACCTGCCATTGTTGAATATGACGGTGCAGTTGGGCCAGCAGTCGTGGTTGACCAGGCCCAGGTTGGGGAAGATGCCCACTCCCACGGCCTGCAGGCCTCTCTGATCGCTGAGAGTGAACCCGTTGCAGTTGATCTACCAGAGGAAGAGACCAAAGGGTCGTCAGGGACACCCGCAAGGCGAAGGCCACCCAGCTGCGAGGGAGCCTGAAGACAGGGAGCCTAGGGGATGCCCCTGCTCTGCGTCACTCCAGATGACCTACAGGGGAGAGCAACCTGGAGCCCCATCTTGGCAAAAGTGCATTAGCACCTTGAAGCTGGCCCAGGTTTTATTCTAAAAGGGCTCAAGATGGAAATGCTGGGTCCCTTTTTCTGTACCTGGGCTCACGTGAGTCCCCCTGGGCACGCCGAGGTTCCACTCTGTACCCTCGTGTAGGAGCACACAGCCCATGCCCTTGCCTGTCTCTCTCCTCCTTCCTTTGCCTGCCCTCTCACAGTTCCCATAGCTGCCGCGACATAAAATTGACAACACTCTTGGACTATTTTTTATCTGGCATATAGTTATTTCTTGTTTTTTTCCAGTACTGGGATTGAACCTGGGGTGTTCGACCACTGAGCTGCAGCCCCAGCCCTTATTAATTGTGAAACAGGGTTTCTCCAACTTGCCATCCTCCTGTCTCAGCCTCTGAGTCCCGGTTTGTATTTCCTGTTCACAAATTTGAAAAATCAGAAGAGGGCCATATTTAATGTGTCTCTGAAATGCAAGGCAAATCAAGTTGCTACTACAGATGAAGCAGTCAATTGATTTTCTTTTCCTTAAAAATAAGTCGTTCTTTCTAGAAACAGGTTCCAAACAGTTGCTCTCAGAGCACGAGACACGTGTAAGAGCACACACCTGGAGTGTGTCAGTGACTGCGTCTGGATAATGGAAACAGCACGCCCGTGTGCCCCGGCCTGGCAGTTGGTACTGGAGAAGGCCACCTTCCCACAACTCTCCTCAGACATGAGCACACCCGTAAGCACCGGGCACACTTCTTTCCTCTCTGAGCTCTGGTGTCCCATCTGTAGGTTGAGTCAAATGGACTAGATAAACCCTAAGGATCCTCTCAGCTCCAGGCTCTGGTGGTTATAGGACCGTGGCTCTCATCCCCAGACCCCTAGGGATGCCCAGGGTGGGTCTGTCACAGCAGCTCGCCGCAGGGCTACCAGAAGTAAGGACAGATGCCCTGGCACCAGACAGACTGCTTCCAGACCTTCCTCGAGCAGCAACTATGCCTTCAGAGGTCACATGACCTCTCTGAGCCTGGGTTCTCTGTTCTATAAACGAGGCCCTCACCTCGTGTGGTAAAGATTCATGACACTATCTGGGAGGAGGCCATGATGGCTACCTTTAAGGGTCAGCATGGCTGGACCATGRTGCCCAGGTACTTAATTTGGTCAAACCTCAGTATGTGTGTTTCTGTAGAGTTGTTTTTTAGATGAGATTAACTTTTAAACGAGTGAACTTGGAGCAAAGCAGAGTGGCCACCGCTTTGCAGGTGGGTCCCGATCAGCGGGAGACCTTGACACAGGAGAGACTTATCTCCCCCTGAGCAAGAGGGACTGGTGGGACAGACTGCCTTTGGCTCAAGCCCAGCTCTTCCCTGTGTGTCCAGCATCCCCTGGGCAAAGTTGCCTGAGCCAGTCCCTCTCTCCATGGTCAGGCCTGGAGAGGCATCGAGTGTGACCTTCTTGTTGCTATTCCACGGACCCCCTCCTCATCCTCATCACCAGCACCATGGGAGAGACGCAGCCCACTGGCCAAGGAGCTCCTGATCCACAGACCCTGCCCCTACCTCCTGGACCTGGTGGCTCCCCTGGCTGGGCTGCCCCCTCCACAAGCCCAATTTCCCTGGCTGCACAAGGACCCACTGCTCCAGCACCCCCTCAGTCCTGCCCTGCAGACCTGGAGAGAGGAAGGGCTTTATTTCCAAGGTGACAGGTGGGCAGGGAGGGATGGGGATCAGGTCTTTGTTTTCATTTCAGACTGAAGAAATTTTAGCAAGTGCTGATAAGCAGGAAAATAAGTTGTCATTCAGAAATGATGCAGAAATAGTGTGTGGACGGGATGGCAGGTTCAGTCAGGGCGAGACAGATCCCAGAGCAAGCAAAGCCAGGGAGGGTCAGGGCCAGGTCTCATCTAAAGCCTCTTGCTCCTCCGTCCCCTGGTGCCCTCCTGATTCTGCACCAGCACCTTCTGGAAGCTTCTTGGCTGGACAACCCCCTCTGACCCCGTCTCCCCTCTTTACTAGGAATAACACTCCAGGGTCTCTAGTTTCAAATGGGGCTATTTAGAGGCCTGTCCCTGGGCTGCAAACCGGAAGCGGCAGACTCTCCTGCTGCATGGTGAGCAGGGGGCTCTCCACCAGGCTCGGGCTACTTGGACTGGGCACCATATTATGGCACTGGAGCCACTGGCCAAGGCCATGAGTGTCCTCATCAGGACCCCTCAGCAGTAGTCGCCCACCCACCCAAAGCCAGGAAGGGAAGGAGGGAGGAGAAGACAGAGGGTGGGGAGGGCAGCGCAGAGGGGCGGGGGAGGRCGGAGGGGAGTGGAGGGAGGAGGGGAGGCGTACCACTCCGAAGATGTGGGAGATGTACTGCATGCTGAATGTTTGGCTCTGGGGCGGCCAGTACTGCAGGAACGTGTCCACGTCCACCCGCAGCTCCTTCTGCTCCTCCTCCCCAAAGTGTTCCACGTGGTTCTGCAGGTCRTCCACCGACACCAAGCAGCCCTCGGTGAGCCCGCTGCCCTCTCTCTCCACCCGCCACATGATGCGTGCAGCCAACCTGCAGGAGGGCAGCGTTAGGCAGGCCGCGCTCCCAGTCACGGTCACTCGTTCATTCAGCCACGGCTGATGCGTGCCAGGCCCCATGTGCAGGGGTGAGGGTGCCTAGAGCACGCAGGCCGGGGCAGCCGGGTGACTGGGAGACCACTGTAAGTGGACATTACTCTTCTGTCCCACCGGTTGTCAGATCCCAGCTCTTGCCATTGTTTCTAGAGAAGCCAAAACCGTCTTTTTTCTGAATGTAGAAACCTCCATGTCTCAACCCTGGCAGGTCAGCTGTTGCATACAGGGCCCTGGAAGGCCTGCAGAACCTGCCTGCGTGCACTGTGGACTCCCCGGCCTCCCTCTTAGCTGGGTGGGGGGAATGGGAGGAGTGAGCCGCCCAGGGCCCTGGACATCCCTCCTGGTCTGCAGGGCCTGACCTGATGTTCTCGTTGGGTGCCTTCCCSTGTCTCTTGAGGGCCGAGCACTCCTTCTTGTGGTCCAGCCAGGCGTCCTTCTGGCAGGTGCGGTCACAGTAGTGGGCGAACTTGCACTGCCCACAGCGGTGCAGCTTCTCCTGCCTCTTGAAGCAGGTGTGGCACACGACGGTCACCAGGCTGGCAGGGCAGAGAGAGCAGGTCAGGGGTCTCAGTGCTCCGGCTGACAGTGCTAGACCCCCACAGGAGAGGTACAATGAAAAGACACTTATTTGGGCTCAGAGTTCAGGTCGGGTGCGGGCTCACCTCTGGGGTGGCCTTTTTGGTTTGTTGTGGTTGGTTTGGTTTGGGGCACTGGGGGTTGAACCCAGGGAGCTCTATCATGGAGCTACAGCCCAAACACTATTATTTATTTTTCTTTTTTATTTTGAGACAGGTTGGCCTCAAAATTGGGATCCTCATGCCTCAACCTTCTAACTTGCTAGAATTACAGGCTACACCCACCTGGCTGTGGTGGCCTACGGAGGCAGCCCAGGAGCCACAGGGAGAGGCACAGGGAGGGTTCCCTGAGGGTGTGTGCGCACTCCCTGGTCCCTTGAAGCCACAGCTTCATCTTGGACACTGGAGCCTGGCAACCTGAAGACCTCATCCTACTCTGCCCATGGGCCCCACTGCGGGCCACAGTCCTGGATCTCCACCTCTGACACCTTGCCATGGGGCAGGGCCACACCTGGCACAGGAAGCCCTGATATGCACTGGAACCATACCTACCCCAGTGGGGAGACTTGGGCTCAGGAACCAGCTCCGTGGGCTGGTCCTCATCACTCCAAACTCCAGACTCCCACCTTTCAGACGAGGGGCCTGAGCTTCCCGAGGTCCCCTCTAGTTCTGGCCATCCCGCAGCAGGCATTTCTCGTGGCCCTGTGGGAGACACCTCTGCCCTCTGCATGCCAGTGCCTTTGTCACCTGGTGCACTGTGATTACATGACAGTGGGCTGTCAATACGCAGTGACACACACTCACGATGGAACAGGACCATCTGGCGCATTTCACATAGCCATTCTTAAATTCATGACATGGGTGACCAGGTCTGCCCACTCTGCACCTGCACAGTCCTGGGTTTTGCTACAGGAAGAATAGGTTACCGATGTCACCTGAGAAACTCTCCCAGCTCAGAGAGAGGCTGGGAGGGAGGGTGGGAAATGCACGCCCATTAGAGGGCCAGTCTTCTTATCCCAGCTTCCGGCCTCCCATGTTCCCTGCAGAGAGCCACGTGCCCTGTGTTGCCCAGCCATTAATAAAGAAGGACACAGGCCACACCGGAAATAGTTTTAGAYGTAGCCTGACACCAGGCAAGTGGCCTCTGGAATGAAGCCTCTCAGGTCCAAGCTGCACATTTGTGCCTTTAACCTGAGGTCCCCCACACCTCTCCAGGCCTCTAGACCCACACGCCATGCTTCTCCAGGTCTGTTTCTCCACATTTTGGGGAAATCTGTAAATCTTGAAGTTGAACATAAAGTACTCACTTATATAACTACCTTGAGCACTGTAAATTAAGCCCTCAATAAATAGATTAAGCAAAGAGATAGCTTGAAAAACCTTTAATTTAAGGCATTGCCGGTGTTATCTGCTGATCCCATAATGGGACATCAGCCTAAGGATCCCGAGGATGGCCACCGGAGGCCACCTTGAGATCGCAGGCTCATGTCAACCCTACCTACTTTCCCACACCCACCGTCACCAAGCTTCCTTTAGCAGAGGATTGGGGAGCCCCCAAACATATCCCTCACTCTAGAGATGGCCTAGTGTCCCTTGAACGCATGTTCCTGGCCTTCCTAAATAGATCCCTGGGCCGCTATTGACATGTGCTGTACTTTTCTCCCCTCATGTACATCTAGGACCCCGCTGTTCCTGGGTGGAGACCTCCTCTCTCTGGGACTCCCTGGGACCCTCTTCTCCCATCATGGTGGGCAGCAGATGTGGACACCCAGGCTAGAGTCGGCAGTCTACACAGGGATCTCAAAAGGATAAGAAAATGGGCATTTAGGGGCAGCTTGAGCCTGAAGGAACTCCACAGGCCCCCCCAAGTGCTGCGATCCCTGGATCCCTTCCTGACCATGAATCTTAATTCCCAGGGAGGAAAGCTTGGCACCTCTTCGGAGGACAGCACTGGTGGCCAGTCTATTTGTTGGTCAGCTTCCATCTGCCTCCACAGAAGCCATCGTCTGCATGCTCATGGGGGGCACTGGACCCTTGCCCTAGGGGATCAGTCTTCCAGAATGGGAACCCCCTGCCTGCTTCCCCCTCGTTCCCTGCTCCAAGTGAGAGGCTCACAGCTCCTTCAGCAGGAACAGTGTGGCCCCTGGAGTCCTCCCTCCTGGGTGGCCTCTGATGTTCCCTGCAGTCAGAGGAAGGTGGGCATAACCATGCCATCAAGCCAGGTCCAGGGGCCAGTGCAAGGGGTCAGATTCGGGGGCCAGCCCAAGGCCAGGCCCCATGTTGGCACAGTGGCATCAAGAAGGGGAGACACATGCAGAGCCAGCAGAGGGCACTGCGTGGGCTGCTGCTCCAAGCCAGGCCCAGGCTTCCCAGAGTCCAGGCAGCCCCCAGCCACCCACTGGCAGACCCAGCACCCTGCTCTATCCCCACCGAGGTGCATTGTTGGCAACTTGTTAGTGACCCTGAAGTGCTTGCTCCAGGGTGTGGAAGGTCAGTGCTTATTTGTAAGTTAGGGAGATTCAAGGTTATCCCCACAGTAACATCCTCCTTGCTCTGCCACCTGCGTCCCCACAAGCTTCCCTGTGACACAGAAGGAGGAGTTCCTCCGCATACTTAGAATTGCACAGATTCCACAGCCCCCATCAGGAGCCACAGGGGTGCACCAGGGAGAAGGCCCAACAGAGCGGGCATATGAGTTACCACAGGGCCTGGCCAGCGTGTGCAGTCCCCGAGCCCCAGAGAGGGGGAGCTGGAGGTCCTGCACTGTCTCTCTCTCTCTCTCTCTCTCTCTCTCTCTCTCTCTCTCTCATAAGTCAGAATTGCATTCTTTGGCAGGAGTTTGAAGTTCCTTAGCAGAGACTGGCTTGCTGAAGAACACGAGAGAATAGCCCAAAAGGCTCCATATGTCATCTCCTGGCCACTCAGAAGTGAAGACACTTTACAATCCCCGTGTCCAGGATAGAGAATAGTATCACAATGAGGTCCCACTTACACTTCCTGGATCTCGACTTTGCACTTCCATTAGTTTCTTTTACAAAAATAYGTTAGTGTAAAAATCAAATTATAAGTAGTCTTCAGACCCTCTCAAGCTCTCCCAAAGGCCCGAGCCCAATCAGAGTCTCTGCCTATCCACAGGGCACTAAATATTCTTTATAGGGACAGAATAGATACACAATCAACCACACATATTTAAAATATATTCTTCTGGGCTGCGGGTGTAGCTCATTGGTAGAACACATGTCTACATGTACAAGGCCTTGGATTCAATCCTCAGCACCCTCCCAAGTCACTGGGATTCCAGATGTGCATGCACACCAGGCTAGCTAAGACAGTCCACTTAGGAAGAGGAAAGGTTTATTTCAGCTCATGGCTTGGGACATTTCAGTCCTCGGTCCGCTGGTCCATTGCTTTTGGCCTGTGGCAACGTGGCACATCCTGGTGGGAGCCCATGGCAGAGGAAGCTGCTCACCTCATGGCAACCAGGAAGCAAGGAGAGGAAGAGGAGGAGGTGGCACCTCTTCAAGGAAGCACCCCAGTGGCCTAACCTCCTTCCAGCAGCCCCGCCTCCTGAAGTTTCCACCATCATCCAAAATCACCACAGGTTGAAGACCAAGCCTCTAGTCCGAGTCATCCATCTGTGGGCTGTGTGTGAGCCATGCGCATTTGAGCACATGAGGGGAGTGGCCCGACGTTGCTGCCTGTTTGTGTGCCTTTCCTCTCCCTCTGCCTGTGATCCCACATAGCACCTGAGATGGGTGTGGCCTCCCAAGACACAACCAGCAAGACTCCACACTTCAAAATCCAATCCCTTGCTTTATTGGGGTGGAACTTTCTCAAACGTCTTTCCCCTAAATAAAAACAGGGGTTTGGGGTATGCTCACTCTCTTGCTCCTTCCAGGGCTGGAGCTGCCCCTTGGGATCACCAAACTGTCCTGCCTTAGAAATTTATGTTCATTTGCTGCATGTTTCTTCACCGTTTTCATAGTTATTTATACAGCCAGCTCCCTTGAACCCAGTTCATGTCACCAGTCCAGCCAGCTGGTGATAGCCTTTGACACATGGGCTTTGGAGGGACATTCAAAATTCAAGCTATAAGCCAGGCATGGTGGTACACACCTGTAATCCCAGCACCTTGGGAGGCTAAGGCAGGAGGATCAAGAGTTTGAGGCCAACATCAGCAACTTTGTGCCACCCTCATCAACTTGGTGAGAACCTGTCTCAACAGAAAAAATCAAGAAGGACTGGGGATGTAGTTCAGTGATAAAGTGTCCCTGGGTTCAATCTCTAGTACCAAAAAAAAAAAAAAAAAAATTCAAACTATAGGAACCTACTCCAGCTCCTGAAAGCTCATGTTCTTCTCCCCAAGCAAAGTGCATTCAGGCCACCCTGAGAGTGTATACGCTTGGACAGATTCCAATAGGTACATCTGTCCACAGACCATCACCAAGAGGGCGCACACATCTGTCCACAAGACTGTCACCAAGATGGTGCACATCTGTGTACCAGACCATCACCAAGATGGTGCACATTTGTGTACCAGACCRTCACCAAGATGGCGCACAAACACATCACAGCCGGAAGTTCTTTCCTGGCTCTGAACTGCCTCACAGGAAATGGAGGCATCACCATTGTCCCCTCCTGGCTGCTTGTGGTGTGGCGTTCCCTTTCATCAAGAGCATCTTCTGTGCTGGTGTGTTAGCTTCCAGACCTTGGCACACCTGAGAGCCTTTCCTAGGTTGGGGAAGGAGGAGCAGCAGGAGATACCACCTCTGGGACATCAGGACGAGATGGCACAGAAACACACAGGCAGGAAAGAGGGTGGCGAGCAAGACCTGGGGCGGGACTGTTAGAAGCTGCACAGTGGTGCCTGCTGTCACTTGGCACTCCATGACTGTCCCCTCCAGGGTCGTCCATCAGAGAAAACTCCACACTGGGAGTGTCTAATGCCTTACACTCAAATT